CACCCCCTGCTCTAACCCTCAAGTAGTCTATGCGGATAGGCTAAAGACTTGCCAAGGAGTAAGTGCAGGGGACAGTGGGTTCTCCGAGGCCTGGAAATTGTCTGGAAGCCTGTCTTACAGCAGCCCCGCCGCCGGCGTGGGCAGCCCTGCCGCCCCCGGCGCGGGCAGCCCTGCAACCGGCGCGGCTCACAACCAACCACATCAAGTCACCAGTACGCCTCGCACTCGTCGTGGAAGAGCAGTCCGGAAACCACGAAGGTACTTGCAACAAGTCTACCCTTCCCCCCACACTGGAGCAGAGACGGAAAGCGCGAACAACCAGCCTAGGCCTTGGTCAACAATTCCAGAACCAGTCCGAGATCAAGATGGAGAGGAGTCCGTTTCGGTGCCGAGTGTGCGGGCAAGCATACGCCGCTGTCTATAACAGACGAAGGCATGAAAAGGCAGCGCACGAGGAGCGGAGCTTCTCTTGCCGCCAGTGTTCGCAGGTGTACAAGCGTGCCGACTACCTAGCCCGACACGCCGGTCACAGCACGGTGGCACCGCCGGTGGAGAGGCTGAAGGAGCAGCGGGCGGTGTCCCAGTCAGACGGGTGGTCACTGTAGAAGAGGAACTACCGTCGGAAGGGAGGCTGTACTTCGGAGGCAGATGGTTTTCCGCAGAACTCACACAGCTGGCCTGAGAGAATGCGAGCCGCCGGAGGAGTTCCGTCAGAGCCCTAGGGTGGACACAGCAACGCAAACGGAGGCCGTACTAATGAGGGAGGAATTCACCACGGTTACACGTGAGACGCTGGAGGAACCATCGGGCCTGCGCACGTACAGGGACACCGAATCAGTCGGCCTCAGTGACTTTGCAGTGGGTAGACCTCGCTGACTGTTGTGTTCTTGTTTGATTTGGGAACCAACTTGGGGCCTAAATCAACGCTAACCAACATTCTCGTGGACACCCAGGTAGGCCTAAGCCTTTTGAAAATGAGTGAACATTAATGTTGTTGTTTTTGTAATGATTGTTTGACTCAATTTCTGTGTTTCTTCTAATTGTGTACATAATTCTCCTTTTAATCAAGACAGTCGTTTTTCTAAATTTAATGAAATCTTAGAAATGTGCCCTTTTCTGGAGAATAGGCTTTTTTCGTAGAAGCGGGTAATGTAACGGACATTTGTATAGCCTTTTTCATGTTTTATTGCCATGTTAATCTTTCGTACGCCGCCGGCGGCGCTGAGGGCCGCCGGTGGAGTGCCCTTACCTGTTTCTCTTGTGCTGGGTGCGCACCGGAAATTGGTTTCTATTTTGGGGCGTTGTGGT